AGCTATTAGCCGCTACCACTCTACCGTGCAACAACGCAAACTCAACCTTGGCGAGCCTGCGTGAAATGCGCTTTGCCTTGACCTGCTACACTGAGCGATAGCCTATCTCCCATTTATACGTGTGTGTACCCGTAGTGAGTTTCACTAATGGTCGCAGGGTCCAACAATTAGATTAATCATCATCTTACTGAACTGTCCCATAACAGGAGAGAACCCTGACACAGACAAGAGCACTATGCAGGAAGCCAAAGAAGAGTAAGAAACCAACACAGAACGGGTGTCCTGAGCCGCTACACGCTGCGGGATTTACTAAGGAGAGGATCCGAGCACTTGTGGACTGAATTCTTCTGGTTCGATGTGCAATGAGAATAATCTGTCGAATAACTAACTATATCTTATATTAACGCAAAGGTTGTTAGGCCTTGACCGAAAGTGAAAGAGTTTTTTCCTCCGAATATTCAAATGAGAAAAGATGGTGATAAAGATGACGGTGGTAGTTAGTGGTTGGGGAGATGATGATGATGATGACGACGATGATAACATTGGTGCTGGAACCTTTAGGTGTACATATTTCCTTTTATTTCTAATTAATGTATAATACCAATTTTATTTGACATTCACCGAATAATTAAAAAAATTATTATTAATCACTTAAACAGGATTTACGCTCCTTAAAGGCCTGCCCCCTCCCCTAAAAAATTTTGAGAGGCTATGTCTTGACGTCCGCGGCTGGCGATAATTCTACGTAACAAGATATCAGTCCTAGTTCTTCAACCAGTCTAACTAACTTTATCTACGCCGACGTCATCAAAAGCAGTCATGTGGGGCATTGATTATCTCCTCTTTGTTCAGTTCAGTTCGTCACCATGGTATTATCATACCTGTATGTAATTCCTAGAATTTATGAAACTGGAAGGCGGTGGTACAAGCGTGTTGACTGCACAATAGTTCAAGTATTGCAACCAGTGCGTGGGCAGTCACGTGATCACTGAAAATATTAAAAGCCTTCTTTTTCTTCTTTTTTTTTCTTTTTCCGTTCCTCATCTTCCTTCTCCTCCTCCTTCCTTCTCCAGCACCCTTTTCCCCCTCCTGTAACTCTAGTGAAGTGTTGGGGAAGATGCAAGGATTATCTGTGTGCTGGTTCTAATGCGCAGTGTAATATATGTATTCTTCTTCTTCTTCTTCTTCTTCTTCTTCTTCTTCTTCTTCTTCTTCTTCTTCTTCTTCTTCTTCTTCTTCTTCTTCTTCTTCTTCTTCTTCTTCTTCTTCTCCTCCTCCTCCTCCTCCTCCTCCTTCTTCTTCTTATTCTTCTTATTCTTTTCCTCCACCCCTCCATTGGCTTCGGTAAAGTACTGGAGAAAATGCAATGATCTGCTGTATGCTCTTTCTAACGAGCAGTGTAATTTGGCCTTCTTGTCTTTAAGGTTGTTCTTGGTATGCTCACTCGGTCTGTCACCGTTTCAAATATTATGTGTAGATGTCTAAATAGTTCACATGCTGACATGCAGTTCATTGTTAAACCATATGTTTGAAGTACCAGTATGAAACAGTTTCCTTCACTTGACATTGTTTCCCCCGAAAGAAACGCGAAGTAGTTCACATACAACATCGCCAACACTCATAAGAAAAGCCAACTGCTACTGGCAGTGGCATAGGAAAATGTGTGTAAAAGGAGAGGTAAAGTAAAAAAGTAAAGGGCACTTTTCCACGCCTTTAGGCGTATAGGGCATAGTGCTAGACCTATATTATTATAGACCAATCGGCACAAGATGGGTGATGTGGTCAGCATCACGGCTGCTGCTTTTACTTCCCGGGACGGCACCCAGTACTCACTCAAGGCTAGGTCGACCGGAGAGCTAAGGTCATTTTAGAAAAAGTCCGGCTCCGCCAGAGAGCGAACCCACGTCCCTCCAATCCACAGGCGAGCGCCTAGCCGCTCCGCCACGGCGACTCGAGGGTGGAGAGAGAAAAGGGGGACTTCACTCTTCCCAGCAATGTCGCAAAATCGTTACCCAACAATTGAAGCCATACGGGTACCCGCAGCCAATCAAACCTGCGTATTGCCAACGGTGGTTGGTAACTACTTTTCACACATACACAAAATACGTTATCTATATGTATTATTTAACACCAAGTGTTTGCGCGGAGACGTCATATTCACAAGTTCTTGGGTTGGAGTGCGTTTCGTTTCGTGACTGCTGATTGTCGTTTTAGAAAAAAATAATATCAACTTTATTGCCTGCTGTATTTCGCTGTATCTCATCTGGTATATTACTACGCAGTTTATTGACGTATAATGAAGCACTTTACATTAATCATTTATACACAAAACACGAATCACTGATAGAGCGAAATATGCCAGGCAAAAATTGTGCAGTAAATCGTTTGTGACCTTGTTATTTAAATTCACAACGGAAAAACATTGTTTTAATTTATTTTTAAATATATTATTGCATACTTTAGATATTGTGATGCTGGCCACATCACACACACACACACACACACACACACGCATGAACACGCACACTCACACACACACACAGAAATACTGGGGCTAGCTCTGCAACGTCCTGTAAAGGATACACAACTAACAATCAAAAAAATTATTAACTGCTCTTTGATTTAATGCAACGGCTTTATTACATTTACCTGAGTATAGTTACTAGTTACTCTGCTTAACTTCAGTCATTACCTAGGAATATACTATGTTGATGCTATTTTTTTTTTTTTACTTGCACCCATTCGATATGTAAGTGTATGTACTTTAAAATAACAGACTGAGTTTTAATGGGATAAAATATAACCAGAGGACAGACTGATTTAAGTAACAGGTGATTAGAATGGATGAACAACACAGAAAATGGAACAGTAGAAGTTTAGAAAAATAAATAGTGTATAGAGTAATCTGCTAACACATGGCGAGTTTCTTCGTGCGGAAAGAGTTAATATAATTATTATTACAATTAATTACTTTCCCAGAATTTATATTTAAATTGTTTACTAATTTGACTGGCTAGTCCAACTTTCTATTCATCCACCCGCCTCCTTAAAAACCCTACCTACCTGCTCGTATTCCTATCAATATGGTGATCTAAATATATGTCTGTATGTACCAAATTGTTGTAGGTTTTCGACATATTTATCTGCAACAATGCACTACAAACATCTGAGTACATACTACACAACTGCAGTTACAAAAATTAAAAAAGAAAAACATGGCCAGACAAAAGAGGCATCAAGGACATACTTTGGGGAAACCAATTTAGACCTGCTGCTGACGTGCAGGTTCATGTAGGCAATATATGTATGTTTGTACTACTATACGTAGTATAGAAAAGCTGTAGACCAAAGCCAGCAGTGCTGTCACGCTGAATGCACAAATGGGTAACTGGTTCCTAACAACAATAGGAGTCCGTCCGGGCTGCCTTCTCTCTCCAAGGCTGTTGAACATCTTCTTAGAAAGAAATATGACTAATGCCCTAGAACAACATCACGGGACAGTTAGTATCGGAGGACGAATTATAACAAACTTAAGATTTTCAGACAACATTGACGGGTTGGCCGGGGAAGAAAAAGAGCTAGACGAATTTGTAAACCTGCTTGATGAAATATTATCCAAATATGGCAAGGAAATAAGCGAGGAAAAGACTGATGTAATTACTAATACTTCTCCAGCTGGCATAACTAGACAAATGTAAAGGTCACAAATTAGAACAAATATTTAGAATCCATTTTAAGTTACGTAGGGCCAAGACCAAAAAGCATGTCTATTATTGCCCAGACAACATCTGTCCTTGTTAAACAGCAAACGTTATGGAGATCCAAAAACATGTCATGCAAAGCTAAGCTTCGACGTCTCAGAGCACTAGCTATTGAAATATTAACATACACTTACTCAGATATGGCAACGAATGTAGAGTTGATTTATTTCCATTCATGGGAAGCCGGGTGGCACTATAACAAGTGCTGGAAATAGCCACAAGGCAGCATTTTTTCGCGACGTTCCATGTGTCCGGTAAACCAAACGTAAGCTTGCCACTTGGTCGTCCAGGTATGCAGACTGCTTTAATTATGCTGCCGCAACGACTTCATATCTCACAGTATCTTTCGCAAAGTCACCAATTCGTCTTGTCCCTGTCCGATAACGTCCGGTAATACGTGCAGCAGGAGAAACCAACCCTGAACCTCACGAACTCTCTGAAAATGTCTAGGAGCTCGTAGGCCAAAACTTTTGTTGACGAGAGATTACTTCTACTGACGATTTGGCTAGGTCGGGCAGAAGATGTTATTAGGCAAATATGCAGCCTAACCGACATCATACCTGGTGCAGAATGGATACCTGTGCCTCAGGCGTTTATTTGTACATTTTCCTGTATTGTCACACCCTCACAGGCGATGTAGAGAAGAGAATCCTGTAAGCTGTTAATGCAGAGGTCAACGCTCTCATCGGTGAAATTACAGACGATCCAGATGCATAATCTATACAGACGGATCCGTTATACGCCAAGGAAGAGCGCATGGGCATTTACAGCACGCTCAGCGGCAGAACAGTCAAGAAGCCACGGCGCTTCTCCATGACAACCAGCGCTATACTGCAAGTCTGTCTTTACATTTCTCTGCATTCTTTTGAGTCCGTTATTATAACATGTGCTTGCAGCTGATTTTGTAGTGTTCCTTTTCTCTTTGCAACGTGACTGTTGGTACTAGACTTCAGGTAACTTATTTGTGTCAAACAGCATGAAAGCTGCAGCGACCACCTACACTTCCATTACGAAATTTAATGTTGTTTGTGTTGTGTATTAGATTTTGTTGCATTAAGCCCGGTCAATTTTTTTTTTTAATTTTGCTAAAAATATTTCAGTTTTTGCATGAAGCTGTATTAATGGTTTATACTGCAGGTTCAACAAGCGAGCGTCACTGAAGCAAAAAGAAAAATACGTGCACTCGTGCATAATTGTTCATAGTTTTTCTTGACCAAACAATTAACACCAACTGAACATATGGCGGTCTCTTTCACTTCTGAACCATCATATTGGACCCACAAAAGCTCACAAGGTTATTTCTTAGAAGATGTTCCAGGCACTAAAGCGACTTTGATTGGAATCATAAAATCAACGTGGGATCCTAGAGTGGTTGGAGCGGGACAGGATGCAGCCAAGCTAAAACATTCAGGGGTTGAGATCATTGAGGTAAAGAGAGTAGAAAACGCCTCCTTGTTTCATTCATACAACAATAAAAAACATGAATTTGAGAAGAGAGGACGACCGTGTCCAGCTATTGAAAACATCCCCCAGGAACTAGCAGCCTTTAATAAAACGCGCAGAAGTCAAGCTGTGAATGAGTACTACCTATTCCATGGCACGGATGAAGCCATCAACATCTCTAAGACAGGGTTTCAAACACGCTTCGCTGATCCTGACAACCTGTTTGGGAAGGGGATATATTTCTCCGACAGTTTTCAAAAGGCGGACCAGTACACGGGTATGTATGTTCTTTTAAACGTTCGCCTCACACCCGAATGTCTTTGCTTCGAACCAGCATACAAGTCAGATGTTTGTCTGTAATGACCTTGGCTTCCAGGTCGACCCAGCCTAAACTAGGTACCAAGTAAAGTCTTGGGAATAAAAGGCTGCAGCCTGGCGTTGTCCACGCTCCATTCCACTCCGCTCCCCCTTTTCCCCCCTGTATACTTGTACATTATAAAATTCTTATACTTTGGTGTCAGTCCATAAAAACGGCAACATCATTACATCTAATAAACAAACAGACAATGTACTGATGGGGACTCACAGAAAGAAGTTTAAGGATAATAGGACACATTAGGCAAGGTTCAAATCGAAACCTGTAGTTACAATGCTTTGAACCAAAAATCTTTGCAAATACCTTGTATGGAACTGTACGTTTCACAGTTTCATCGTGACCGTGTTTGGCTTTTGTGCGCATACGTACATGTCAGATACCGGGAAATATGTCGTAAAACTACGCCGATTTTTTTTTTTTTTTTATTTAAACTAATCTTCTCCTGCAACGGATTGCAACGAACCGCCATGCATGGAGAGTCATGACCTCTGCCCTATGTGCCGCACTCGACACAAGAGGAAAGATTAACTAACTAACTCTCCTGCAAAGTAATTTCGTGTTTAAAAAAGACAGCTTTTACGACAGTCTGCAAACAGTAGTAGAATACATCCCAAAGCATGATGTATTATTAATCCTTTGAGATTTTAATGTTCAGGTAGGAAAGGACAACGCAGGGAGGAAGAGAACAATGGGGAAACATGGAACAGGGAAAATGAACAACAATGAACACAGAGGGATTATGTGACTTTAGCCAATCTAATGACCAAATAATTGGAGGCCACTCTTTCCTCATAAAACAATTCATAAGCTCACATGGAGATCTCCAGATGGACACACGGAAAAAAAATTGACCATATTCTTATAAATGGAAAATGGAGGCATTCCCTGCAAGACGCCAGAGTACGTAGATCAGCGGATATAGGGAGTGGTCATAATTTACTTATTGGAAAAATCAGTTAAAACTAAGGAGAGCTAAAATAGGAGAACAAAAACCGCAGCGATATGATGTAGTAAAATTGCATGACACACATTTCAAACAGCAATTTAAGATAGAATTCAAAAACAGATTAAGCATTTGACAAGAAGAAAACGAAATTTTAATCGACAAATTTAATGAAGAAGTCAAGTTAGCAGGGAAGAAAATATTAGGATAAAAACGATCAAAGAAAGAGGAGTGGATTTCCCAATCGGCGTGGGAGAAAATAGCACAACGGAAACATATTAAAAAAACAAATGTTAGACGCAAAATCAGCCAGATATCCAAGCCGTGAACGCTCAAGAAAAGATTGAAAGACTTTCAACAACAGCCCTTAAGATAGGAGAACTCAAAATAAACACCAGTAAAACAAAAGTCATGAGAAATAATTTCAAAACAGAAAATCCAAATATCTTAAATTATGAAGCAATAGAGGAAGTTGAAGAATTTATGTACCTCGGAAGTAAAGTTACTCCAGATGGAAATTCTGAAAAGGATGCAACATCAAAAACAAACAAAGCAAATCAAGCATTTGCCATGCCTAACAATATATGGCAGTCAAAGGGATTTAGTTTAAAGACAAAACTCAGAATATACAAGAGCAACATTTTAGGAATACTATTATACAACAGTGAATGTTTGAAAATGATAGCGGCAATTGCACATAAACTTGAGACTTTTCAAAATAAATGTTTAAGGAGAATTCTACGAATATTTTGGCCAAACAAGATCACAAATGAAGAACTGAGGAGGAAAACAGAATGTGTATCACTGGCAAATATAATCAAAGTAAGACGATGGAGATGGCTTGGACATGTTTGCAGAATGCTCTGTGACACTCTGGCAACAACAGCTCTTTGGTTGACAGCAGATGGGAAAAGCAGACGTGGGCGACCTAAGGAAACATGGAGAAGGACAATAGAACGGGAAATGAAGGAATGTAAACTGACATAGGATACCATGGGCTAAAAAGCAGAAGACAGGCAGCAATAGAGATCACTTGTGAACATCTTATGTGTCAACAGCGACATGAAGAGGATATAGACGAGACAGAGAAATCATGTGTCGGACTGAATCGTGTGTCAGATTGCATTTTGTGTCACGCTGCATCAATCAAAAGTCACGCTGAAGTTTGTGTCAGCCTGAATCAAATGTTAGACTGAATAATGTATCACAGGGAATCACATGTCATAATGAATCACTTGTCATAATGAATCATGAATCATGAGGAATCACGTTCACCATGAGTTAGTGTCATATTTAATAACGTGTTCAACTGAAGTATCATAATGTATCAGGAATGAATCACGTGTCGTAATGAATCACACGTTATAATCAATCCCGTGTAATGAATCACGTGTCATAATCATTTATGTGTAATATTGAATCGCGTGTCATATTGAATTACGTGTTATAAATAATCACATGTCACCATGAATCATTTTCATAATGAATCATGTGTCATAATAAATCACGTGCTATAATTAATCAGTGTCATACTGAATCACGTGTCATAATGATGTGTCGTGATGAATCGCCTGTCATAATGAATCACGTATCATGTGATTTATAAGTCAAATTGTGTCAGATAGAGTCATATCTCAAAATGCATCCTGAGTCTGACTGAATCATGTGGGAAACATGACTAGGTGAACATTAACGCATAATATGGTAATTTTTCAGACCACCCACAACACCGTAGGTCACCTGGCACAGAGCTGACCATAATAATGGCCCGAGTAGTGCTGGGAAACACATACAAGTGTAGCACAGAAGGTGAGTTTAAGCATTTGGTTAAATCGACCGCTTTCAAATAACTGTACTTCATTGGTCTTTTCTAATAGCTGATGGACTTGCATGTGTTTTGACAATGATGTGAGCGTCCTACCGCTTAGTAGCAATAGCAATCTATTGATGGAAAATTGTCTCGTTAAAATCACATCGCAGCGATTAAATTTTTTGACTTGTTTGTAGCGTCAAAGAAATATCATGCAAATATATAATTTATGAGTGCTAATCGAGACAAGTATTGGCTTGCGTGTGTTTTCTTACTGAGAAAGTAGTTCTGTTTAATTCCAACTCGCTCCAGGATACCCCCTTCCACTCCACCCCACCCCCACCCCCCAAACTGATGTCTTCTTGGGGCCCAAGCCGTGCAGAAACTTCAATGCACAAAGTCAGGAGTACAAATGAAAGGATTTTAGTGCATACTTTAGAGCTTACGCCAGAGTGGACGCTCGAACAGATCAAAGCTCTCTTCACCAGAACTTGAAGCGTCCTGTACAAACCCTAGTATGTGACGACTGCAGGAAATCATTGCTGGCAACGGAAATACGATGATCTGTTGCTATGAAGGGCTAAATACAACATAAAATTCGACTATAAAGCTCGACGTCACCGTGTGGGTTCCTGGGCCCCAGTTTGGGGTGGGAGAGGGAAGGATAAACTCACTGCCCTAGGTCAAGCACGTCAACTAATTAGGTTTTTTTTAAATGAATTCCGAGTGCATCTGCCTGAGAGGGAGGAACAGGCACTCTGCTTACAAATAAACTAGATCTGTAAAACAGATGTGCACGACAAACTCAGTGGATAAACAGCCTAAACTTTCGTCTGGAGTTTTCAGCGGGTGAACACAAAGAAGAAGAAGAAAAAACTCGGCGAAGGGGATGGAAAGCCGAGCACAAATACAACAAAACGTTTCGACCAAAGTCTTAACCGGCAGAGAAATCAATAACATAAAGTGCGACTAGAAAACTTAACGGACACGGCAACAGAGCTTAAAAAAAAACAAGGTCTACGTATGATGTTATGGGTTGGTGTTTTTTTTTTTTTTTTACCCCTCTCTAACACTTGAATGAGGTAACTAGAGAAGAATTATAAAATGAGTTTTTAATGGTGGTTTATATATTTTAACGGAAAAAAAAACTTTTTCTACAGATGCTGATAATTTGAAACGCCTACCGTGCCTGCTGCATAGAGGTTCGTGTGCCTGTGGACCCCAGCAACAAAGATTTGACTCTGTCGAAAGTGCTGGTCTTCTGTTCCGAGAATTCGCTGTGTTTGAGGGGAGGCAATGCTATCCAGAATACATTGTAACATACAAACGAACCGGAATACAATCATGGGTGTGTTAACTGTTATGTCGTTATCGACACCTATTGTTTCTGTAACAGTGGCGGCTGTTGACAATAAATGGCGTAACAACATTTAAAGGAAACACACTTGTGATCGCAGGTGGTCTGTATGTACTTTACTGATTCATGACCTAATTCCAAACCGTACTTACCGGATTGCCGGAAAAAGACAGAGCAAAACCATGCGAGACGATTCTTGACAGCCACTTTTGTCGTGGCGTGAAGGAGTGTCAACACACCAGCTGGTACGTGTTGTCAAAGACTGCTGATCGTGCCAGTCGACAAGACACCTGATGATGATGCGGTACTAGAACCTGTGGGCTTAAATACCTTCAAATCCCCCTACCCCCAATTTTTTAGAAAAATTATTTGTATTGTGTGTGTGGGGGGAGGGGGGGGGGGGGTTGGCTAAGCCCATGACTAGGGCTAAAACATGACTGTCTGTTTTAACCACTTTTTTTAGACAGGGAGTCGTGAGCCTGAGAATTCAGTATCGCTTGACTACTGCTGTCGCCACGGACTGTGCAGGTTAGGATGTTTAATTTTGCCTCGACACACACACAGACAAAAAACAATCACCTTACCGGGGGTCGAACCCGGGTCTCCGGCATGAAAGCCCGACGTTGTAACCGGTCAGCCGCTCCTACTTCAGCGCAGCTTTAACACAGTCTAAAAAAAGAATCCTCGAAATAATAAGAAAGCTGTATCTGTGTTTTGTTGGTTACACTAAAGCATTTGACGAGGTGAAACGCTAACAAATTATTAGAATGTTGGAAACTTTAAACACTGATAGTGAAGGTCTTTGAATAATAAAACCATATACTGGCAACAACAAAAAAAGCCATGAGCATTGATACCAAGTAAGCACTTTTCAAAAACCTGAAACAAGGCGTTAAGCAGAGATGTGAACTATCACCCGAATTTTTCAGTATTTACTGTGAAAAAATAATAAGATCCAACATAGTATATCAAGAATATCGACTGATGGGTATAACGTAAACAGCTTGTGATATGCAGATATGATTTGATCTCTGAAAATGAACACACAACTGCAGGAAACGATGTATATAATTGTAAAAGAAATTTGGAGAAAAAAACTTTCAGCTTGAACTGCAGAAAAATAAAAGAAATTGTGATTATAGGGAACATATGCCCCTCCCCTTACACAGATGCAGCATGAAAGTAAATGGGACAAGTTTGAAACAAACTGGTACGTTTAATTACTTGGGTACCCTAAAAATAACAGATATAATATGTATTAAAAAGGTACACGTAGAACAGTTCAAGCACAGGCAGCGTTTCACAAATTAAAAAATTGAGGCAAGTAAGAGAATTCATCAAGGCTAAATAGTTCCAATCTTAATATGGAGGAGTGAATCATGGGTAGCTCTCGATTTGTGGAAAAAAAAATTGTTTGGAAGCGACAGAGATATGACGTTATAAATTAATGATGAGAAAACACTGAACAGGTAAAAAGAGAAATGAAAATATCTTGGAGGAAATTACCTTCTGAAGATAACTGATTACCCATATACGAAGAAAACAATCTACATTCTTTGGTTACCCCACGAGAAGAAGAAAATGTAAATACATGAGACAGATGGAAATACAAAGTTTTGAACGAAAACCACACGAAAGTACTATTCAAAAGTCTTGATCTCCTTAAATGTCATCGAGAAAACGATGTTTAAAACAGTTTTCGTATTGTTTTTCTTTCTAGAAGCTAGTGGAAGGCGGAAAATGATAACTAGGCGCTTGGCTGCAGAACTGATGTGGACAGAACTAAAGAGTATGTTAGACGGGAATTCTTATTTACTTGGTTGAAACTTCCAAGAACTATGAATAAAGACTCACAGCATTAGAAAATATATTTCATACTTAATGTTTATAGTATTGCATGATTTATCATAAAATTGATCATTTAACAAGTTCTTGGTATATCACTGTATATTACTCTAGTGACATCCCCCAAGTTTTTTTAATTGTTTATTGGCAAAAAATGAATTTTATTGAATAACTATTTATGTTTTCGCAACAATGTTGTAGCTGTTTAATGTGGTATTGTTTTGTTCCTGTATATTTTTTTCCTTACAAAAACTGACATGGCTTCAGTAGCATTTCTTTTAATAACTAGGCTGCCTGCCAGTTCGGTTATGGTATTGTTTGACGACACGGTTCTCCTTTCCAACAGTGTACAAGGTTTAGATTAATCATGGCCGTCAAAAAATACTGTGAAGAAGTGAATTTGTTTCTGAATTTAAAAAAATGTATGTCCTCAGTAAATACAGCACACCAACCACGTATCACAACGAAAATTAAGCAATAGAAAATGTAACAGATTTCGAATCCTTGGGCTCTTTAGTGAACAACAGTGGCGACTGCTCAAAAGAAGTCAGAAGAAGACTTGTATTAGCGATGCAGAGATTAAATAGCATGAAGAACCTTTGGCAAAGGCACTTGTAAATTAGTTAAAGTAAAAATCTTGAGATCTTCATTTTTCCTGTGGCAACTTATGATTGTGAGTCTTGGAGTCTCACTCAATCACTGAGGAAAAAGATTGGAGCTTTTGAAAGGAAATGTTATGGAAAATTTCTTAGAATTCTTTTGATCAGGAAGAGGGAAAACATTGACATTCTGAAAGAGTTGAACATCAAGGAGAACTGGCTCATAAACAGCATGCTATTCCGAAAGTTGAAGTATTTTGGCCACATCAAGACGGTGATGGAAGGTGCAGTTTCAGGAAGGCGAGGTAGGGGTCGATCACCTTGAATATGGATACAAAACATTGAAGATGCATTAGCACTGAAAACACATGGAGCCGGAGAGCTGGCTAGGGAAAGGGATACTTTCAGGCATGCCGTGAAGAGAGCAACGTTCTGTGAAGGACTTGCTGACTGATGATGATTGTTTGGTTTGTTAGATCTTTGACTGAATGTTTGGCTATATGATTGGTTGCTTAGTTATTTGACTGCTTGATTGATTGTTTGTGCCATTGATTGTTTGGTTGGTTATGTCATTGGTTGATTGGTTGGTTGGGATACGTGTATATATATAGTATATGCTATCAAAATAGTCCAAACGCATCGCAGCAGATGTGACATGATTTCTAAAACAATCTAAACGCTTGTGGTTTAAAGTAAACGATTTGTGTCAGTTACCTCATCTTCTATTTTTCAGGCTATACAAATTTGTAGTCAGGCAAAGATCAAAGAAATTCGCCACTTAAAGAAAACAGCAGCACGTTCACAATTATAAATTAAAAAATCATAAGGACATGGGAAATATAAGACCACATGCAAAAATATCCGTTGATCCAAACAGGAGTTTTCGAGACATTTGTTAAAGTTTGAGGACACGACTTTTGCAACGGACTTTAACACTTATTTGTTCAAGTAACACCATAAGACATACTGGCACTCGGTCAGCAACTTCTAACCAAAAATTTACTTCACCATAAAACGCACTACGATTAAAAGACTGCAAAGTCTCCTCGCAATATAGCCTAACGGTTGAACGCAGTTTCTGGGATTCTCATCCGCATGGTGGCACTTTGTGTCATCGGGTGTTTATCGCTGTGTGATGTCCTGGTGGGGTCAAATTTATTTACTTACTTATGAGTACGTATCTTCTATGAAATATTTATGTTGATCTACATTTTTCTCTTTTCCCTTAGAATTTTGCAATCTAAAACGTCATTTGCTATTTCTTCGTGTTTCACATCTTTAATTCATCCGCATTATTTACATTTCTCCATTTATTATCAGAGGTTTTTAACTATAGAATTATATTAACCAGATGTTCTTGTGTGTGATTATTTTTAGTAATTCGAGATGTGTATTCATTACTTCTCAATTTATGAATATCTCTATTAAATAAGTGCTCGCTTTGCTACAGCGATTCTTAAAACTGCTCTTACAGTTTAACTTAAAAGTTAGTTGCGTGTCCTTTACAGGATGACGCAGAACAACCCCCAGGATTTTGTGGCTATTGTAGTGGGGTTGTTGTTGTTTTTTTTTTTTTTTTTTTTTTTTTTTCAAATAGTAGGTAGAGTAGTTTGCAACTGCTTACTAAACGGTCAGCTCTCGGTACCACTGTCAAAACCATAGCAAGACAAATCGTCAGCAGCTGAGATCGAACCCGGTACCCCGGCAATTACGAAGCGCCTAAGTCACTGACGCCTACAAGTTTATTTTTCCCACACCAGTCAGTAAAGTGAAGTAAAGGTCCCTTTCACACGCCTGTAGGCGTATTGGGAACATAGGGCTAGACCTATATTTTAGTAGACAAGTCGGCACTTGGTGTTTGATGTGGTCAGCATCCCACCAGCCGCCCTTTCGGTTCTTAATTTATAACGTACCCCAAACACGAAATCCCCGTGGGAAATCCACAGCTGACCTGACAGTCCATTATTTCAAGGGGTGCAAGTGTGCTGTTGTGTGGTGCTTTTTTTTTTTTTTTTGAGTGTTTATCTAGTGTCTTCTAATCCTAACCCTAACCCTAAACCTAACCCTAACCCTAAACTTGGCTGTAGAGAAATCGCTAGAAACTACAACATGAACACCCTAGAATTTATTGGGAATGTCTCCCGTGACGTTGTCGTGACGTCAGGGGTAAGTTATAAATTAAGTACCGCCTTTTCTTACCAGGACTGCACCTGGTAGCCATTCCAGGTTGGGTCGACCTGGGAGTCAAGGTCCTTTTTTTTAAAGTCCGGCTCCGTCAGGGCACGAACCCACGACATTCCGATCCACAGGCTGGCGTTTAGCCGCCGACGCCACGGCGACTCTTCCACACCAGTTATGGTGATCTTAACAAAGTTATGGGTCCCCGGGCTAACCAGTGTGGTGGAGCCCCTACGACAAAAACTCAGAGGAATGAAATGTCAACGGTTTTTACTGGGACTTCAACAAAATTGGTGTTAAAACAGAAACATTGATTAGATAGCAGTTTGAAATGACTGCGAACGAACTTCGCAAGCATTTGGGGGTTTT